ATCTGTATTCCTAGATTTTTCACGGAAATTCTTGGTTTGATATGATAGCCTTTAAATTCTATGATTGTGTTTATGTGGATTTTGGCTGTTTTGACGACTAAAAAGATGCATTGAGTTTTATCCAGATTTAGTTTGAGGCTGTTGTTGTCAAAATGCATTTTTGCTTCTGTAAGAGTCTGTTGAGTATTTCTTATCAATTCATATACATTGCTTATAGGGCAGCGTGAAGAAACTGAGAGTCATCGGCATATTGAACAAGGAGACAGTTGTTTGCAATGGCTGATAAGTCGTTAGTGAATATAGTGAACAAGATCGGGCCTAATATGGAGCCTTGTGGACACCGAAAGAGACTGGTTTCTGAGATGATGATTATTAAGAATTTGACTGACTGCGTTCTTATGGATAGATACTGAACCAATAGTTGTCGACTCCATGATTTTTCATTTTCTTAAGTAGGATTTCATTGCTGACACTGTCAAATGCTTTTGACAGATCAGATGATATGAGTAGATAAATCTGATTTTTGTCTATGTTATCTATGTTATCATAAATTTTGTTTGTGATTTTTAATAAGGCTGTATCAGTGAATAACTTACTTCTAAACCCACGCTGCGTTTCGGAAATAAGGTGATTGATTGGATTCTAAGAATGTTGATAGTTTATTTGCAACATTTTTTCTAGCACTTCAGATATCACAGGGAATAGAGTTATAGGACGATAATTATTCATTTGTTCTGTATCTCCTGATTTGAAAATGGGTGTTATGATGCCATGTTTCTACAGTGATGGGTAGGTACCGGTAACTATGGATGTGTTTATAATGACAGTTAAATAAAAAGCAATTGCGGGTAAGCTTTCTTTGATGAATCGAAAAGCAATGTTATCCAATCCTACAGCATTCGTATCCCGTAAGTGTTTTATTATTAAGACTATTGTTTCCACTCCTATTGACTGAGGTCTGAAATCATTCGTTGAGAGCCCTGTCCTGGCTGTGTCTGGGGGGGCCAAGGAAGCAACTGTCTGTCCATAGGTGAATTTACCGATATTTGCGAAGTAGTTGTTTTGATGTTCTATGCTACATAAGGAATCCAAGGAAGTGTCTGCGTGGTATTTTTTGTGCCAAGGGTGAAGGGTAATGTCAGTTCTACTCGTTTTGAGAAAATTGTGAGTGTTGTTTTGGGCATGTATAGCTCTTTTGATGTCCTCATTCATCAATGGAGCGGGGGGACGCCTAACAATTTTGGTCTTAAGGGTGGCAGTGGCATCAAAATGCCAATATTTAGCACGTCCGAGAGAATGTCTACTTTCTGTTAACTGTTGTAAGAATCTCTGAGAAGGTCGAAGTGACTGGGGGTCGTAATTTGTCAGGTCACGGGAATTTTTTTTTCATGACAGGTTGTCGCTGAGGTCTCTTTATATCTCCTCTCGTGGCTGATAGCTCGTGGTCTGCAATTTGGCAAGGGGTAACATCAGAATAGGTAATGAGATCGGATCCGTTTGATATTATGACGTCTAGCACGGA